TCCTCCTTCTTCTCGCCCTCATCCTCGTCCTTCTCCTCCTCCTCTTCTTCCTCGTGCCCCTCTTCCTCTTCTTCTCCACTTCTTATTATCATTATTTTTATTCTACTTGTTTCGCTTCTTTTGCTTCTTATGTCGCTTCCTAATATTTTCGTTATTCGTACTCTAGTCGTTTTTTTTGTTTTTAAAATATTTGTGTTATTGTTATTTTTATGTTTCTTATTGCGATTGATATTATTCTTATTATTGTATTATTATTATTATTATTATTAGTATTAGTATTATTATTACGATTATGATTATGATTCTCATTAATATTATTATTATTACCAATTTTATTATTATTATTATTATTATTGGTATTATTATTACTATTACTATTACTATTACCAGTATTACTATCATTATTATTATTACCATTGTTCTTATTATTATTATTATTATCGTTACTACTAAGATTATCAGTAATATTATGATTATTATTAGTATCATTATTATTCGTCGTCTTCTTATTATTGTCCTCCTCCTCCTTTTCCTCCTCCTCCTTCTCGTTCCTGATCCCGCTCCCGCTCCTGTTTCGCCTCCTCCAACAGCTTCCTGCTCCATCCGTGGCTTCTTCGCTCATTCGCCCCTTTGTCTCCTTCCTTGGTCGCCGCCTCCCTGCCTTCCTCCCTTGCTGGTTGGAGCGTGCTTTCCTGGCCCAGAAAACAGCGGTCCCATCAGCGGCTCCCGCCCTGCTCTTCCTGCCCCGATCCCAGGGAGTGTTCGCCATCTCTTGAGCCCTCCACGCCCTCCACCCCGCGTAGGAGGACAAACACGCAGAGCCCATTCGTGTTCGACCCTGGTTTGCGCCTCCCCCTCCATTCATGTTCAAAGGTGGCACCGGGCTCCTGTGGGGGTTGGGAGTTCACTTGCCTTGTCATCTCGCACCTGCGTTTGCACCAAATCTGAGGGGGAAGGGGCGCGGGCGGCTGAGTGTGGGGTGTCTACTTTTTGGCCCTTCTGCGGTCCCTCCCCCTCCCGCCCGACGGCAGGAGGAAGGAGGAGGGTACCGCGAGGGCGAGGAGGAGGAGGAGGGGGAAGGAGGAGGATGAGGAGGACGAGGAGGAGGAGGAGGAGAAGGAGAAGGAGGAGGAGGAGGAGGAGGAGGACGAGGACGAGGAGGAGGAGGAAGCGGAGGAGGAGGTGGAGGAGAGGAGGAGAAGGATGAGGGGAGAGGGAGGAGGAGGAGGAGGAGGAGGGAAGGAGGGAGGAGGAGGAGGAGGAGGAGGAGGGGGAAGAGACGGACGAGGAAGAGGAGGAGGATGAGGCCGTGGAGGAGGAGGAGGAGAAGGAGGAGGAGGAGGCGGAAGAGGAAGAGGAAGAGGATGAGGAGGCCGAGGAGGAGGAGGAGGAGGAGGAGGACGGGGAGGAGGACGAGGGCCAGCTTAAACCCAAGAGTCATCAATGTTATTGGAAACAATTCTCCCTCCAAGCTCCCTCATCTCTTCATAGGGCCCTACAAGGTTCAGTTCCACTGAGGGAACTGCCTCGTTGGAAGGCAGCTGTTTGAGGACCCTGAAGCGTGCCAAACCATTGTTCTCGGGATTCCAACGCAACGGTCAACTTGACTGGCGCGTCTTGGCGATCCTGAATCGTGCCAGAACGCCATTCCCGGGACTTGAACCTCGCGAATCAATGTAACAGTTGCACCCTCAGAATCCGGATTCTTCTAATGCACCATGCCTGGTACGTTGATCATGGGAATACGTGGAACCTTTGCAAAGGTTCAGACATAACGTGCGCGGCGCTAAGGCGAGAGTCACAGTTTGAACAGGAACCGCCTCGATCCTTGAAACCCGTGTACATGTGAAAACGAATGTTCGCGGCGCTAAGGCGAGCGCCACATTTTGAAAAAGGAACCGCCCTCAATCCGTGACACTCTTGCGCATTGTTAAAACAAATGTGCGCGGCGCTAAGACGAGACAAACATGTTGAAAACCACCCGCCCTCCACCTGTGAAACTGTTGTCAACTTTCAAGCTTCAGGAACATACGTGGTGAGGAAGTCTCAGGCGAAACGTCTGGTTCGCCTAAAAAAACTTGACACGGGGTGCGACAGGGAACAGTTATTTATGGGGAGCTGGAATGGAGCAGGATGAACATGTGGATGAGGATAAGGATGAGGATGCGGATGAGAAGGAGGAGGAGGAGGAGGAGGACGAACCAGAAGAGGAGGAGGAGGAGGAGGAAGAGAGGAGGAGCTTGAGGAGGAGGAGGAGGAGGAATAGGATGCAGAGGAGGAGGAGGAGGAGAAAGAGGAGGAGGAGGAGGAGAGGAGGAGAGGAGAACAAGAGGAAGATGAAAGTATGATGATGATGATGATGAGATGATGATGATGATGATGATGATGATGGAGAGGAGAGGAGAGGAGGAGGAGGAGGTGGAGGTGGAGCGTGAGAGAGAAAGGAGGAGGAGGAGGAGGAGGATGGGGAGGCGGAGGAGGAGGAGGACTTGGAGGAGGAGGAGGATGCAAATTCTGCTATTGCTCATGATGATGCTGATGCTGATGCTGATGCTGCTGATGACGATAATGCTGCTGCTGCTGATGATGATGACGATGATGATAATGATGATGATGATGATGATGATGATGATGATGATGATGATGATGATGATGATGATGATGATGATGATGATGATGATGACCAGGATGATGATTATGGTGATGACGATGATGACGATGATGATGATGCTGCGGATGATGACTATGCTGATGATTGTACTTAGGATGATGCTGATGATGATAATGATGATGCTGCTGCTGATGATGAGGATGATGCTGGTTTTGATGCTGATGATCGGGCTGCATAAGAAGATGAAAAGGAGGACAGGAGGGGCAGGAGGGGGAGGAGGGTGTGGGGGAGGAAGTTGACGAGGAGGAGGATGAGGATGAGGACGAGGATGAGGATGAGGATGAGATGAGGATGAGGATGAGGATGATGATGATGATGATGATGATGATGATGATGATGATGATGATGATGATTATGATGATGATGATGATGCTGATGCTGATGCTGATGCTGATGATGATGATGAGGAGGAGGAGGAGGAGGAGGAGGAGGAGGAGGAGAAGGAGGAGGAGGAGGTGGAGAGGAGAGGAGGATGAGGACGCGGAAGAGGAGAGGACGAGGAGGATGGAGGAGAGGAGGAGGAGGAGGAGAGGAGGGAAGGAGGATGAGGAGGAGGAGGAGGAGGAGGAGGAGGAGGAAGAAGATGAGGAGGAGGAGGATGATGAAGAGGCGCAGACTTAAGCTGGTAAGGGCGGCGACCGCATACATTCGGGAAGAGGGTAGCGACCCCTTACAAAGGGGAATCGGCGGCCAACACCCCTCGCGCTCTGGCCAGGAGAAGAAGGAGCCTCCTCCTCCTCCTCACCCACCTTCTCCTCCTCCTCCTCCTCCTCCTCCTCTTCCTCCTGCACCCTCCTCCTCGTCCTCCTCCTCCTCATCCTCCTCGTCGTTACCTTCCTCCCTCTCCCTCTCCTCCCCCTTCTGCCCCTCCTTCTCCTCCTCCTCCTCCTCTTCCTTTTCTTCTTCTTCTTCTTCTTCTTCTTCCTCCCCCTTCTCCTCAAATAGCGTTTACACGTCCCTCTCTCCAGAGCGTTGTCGAGTATCCAGGGGCGTGCCGCGCCGCCCGGCGGACTTCAGGGGGTTGGAGGGTTCTATACGCCTCAGTCCTGGTCCCCGGGCCTCCTCGGGCCAGGTCCCCCCCCCCCTCTCGGGCGGATGGTAGTGGAGGGGGACCTACATGGGTGGTGGAGAAAAGAGCCCTACAGCAGCCCTTCAGGGCACCTTTTGGAGCCGGCAGGGGCCACTAGAGGGCCTAGGGGCTTTAGGGCCTAAAAAGGGCCACTAGAGGGCCTAGGGGTCTGAAAGGGGCCACTAGAGGCCCCCTGTTAGGGCCTTAGCGCCTAAACGGGGCCCCGTGGAGGGGCCCTGTCAGGGCCCTTCTCCCCCCCCCACCCTTCCCATTTCGGTCACCCCCCCAAGCCACCATCCAGACCTTCCGCCGCCAGTGGGAGGAGGGGAGCAGAACCCAGATATCGCTGCCCAGTTTCGGTGCCCAGAAACCCTGTCGTTGCGACGCAGATGTCGCTGCCCAGTGTTGGTGCCTGGGGGCCACTCCTGGGCGCCCGGGGGCAGTCAGAAGCCAGCGTGGGGTGAAGAGCCGGTGCCGGAGAGAGGGTCCGCCTCCCAGGTTCGGGGTTGTGACAAAATTAGGTAGGAAGCCCGTGGGCGAGAAGGGTGTAGATTTCAAGGTGGGAGGAGAGAGGAGAGAGGAGAGAGAGAGAGAGAGAGAGAGAGAGAGAGAGAAAGAGATCCGTCTCCACTGCTCGCCCCTCTCTTCTTCCCTCCTTCCTTCCCTTCCTCGTGCCCCCCACACCCCTCCCCCGTTCTTCTCCCCTTCCCGCCACCCTCTCCCTCTCTCCCCTTTCCCTGTCCCTCTCTCCCTCCGTCCCTCAAGCCCTCGATCTCCTTCCTCATCTTCCCCCCTGTCCTTCTCTCCCTGCGGCAGGGCTGGGAACCAGACTTGTGGCTGCGGTGGGAGCCGCCCTCTACCGTAGACACTTAAGACTAGGACACATCGCCAGAGTCTCGAGCGACCAAAATGCCCCTCCCAGAGTCAAGGCATACGGTGGGGGGCGTCCGTTAAGGAATTTGCCCAGGAGGCTTCAGACCCTGGATGAATCCTTATCTGAAGGGCGGCCGTGACATGCACGGCCAACCCACGTTTTGAGCTCCACTGGCTTCCAGACCCTGGACTCCTTGTCCAATGGTTCCTTCTCCAAGGACTTCACCGCAGGCTTGCGGAGGAGATCGCTCAGGTCTTTGCGAGAGAGAAGAATGAGGAAGAGGACGAGGAGGAGGAGGAGGAGGAGGAGCAGGAGGGGGAGGAGGAGCAGGAGGGGGAGGAGGAGGAGGAGGAGGAGGAGGAGGAGGAGGAGAAGAAGGAGGAAGAGGGAGGCGTGAGCGCGAGGGGTCTGGCTCTCAAGCACTGTCACTGCAGAGGCCTCGCGGCCCATTTACGCCGACCCTTCTCGGGTGGGGGATCAAGGTGGCCAAGGCCCTGCACTTTGAGGCAAGTTGGCCGAGGCTGGCCCCATCAAGGCGCCAGCTCGCCTGACGTTGGGTCAGGGCTTGTGCCAAGATCGCCCAGGCTGTCCTCCGCAACATCTCTCTTGCTCTGGCGCGTTTGGCCCGCAGCCCTCGGCGCCCAGTGCTTGTTTGCGAGACAGAGCCGTCGGCGACCCTGCCCGAAGCAGCCATGGCGCGCGCCTCCCTGATCAGTTCGCTGATGGTGCTGGCGCTTCTGGCCTTCGGCCTCCGCTGCGCCTTCGTCCCGGCGCCCCAGGCCAGCCCCGCCCGCCTCCCGGAGATCTCTCCCGCCGCCGCCGCGGTGGTGATGGGCGCCGCGCCCGCGATCGCTGCGGAGATCGACGCTGCCGAGGCGTACAACCGTAAGGTCCTGGAGGGCGCAGCCTACGGCGGGATGCTGTGCGTCTTCATGCTCGGCCTGATCGTCCAGGGGGTCCGGCGGGACGTGGGCAACAAGTGGCTCAACTGAGCGGGGGCGTTCGGGCCCGCTGGGCACCACAGTCGGCGCGGCGCAGGGATGCGGAAGGGGGTGGGGGGTCCTGACCTATCCGGCCTCTCGTGCCGATGTGGCGCGATGACTTGTTTCCTTTGCCTATGTCATGCTCGTCCTGAATGCAGGGCGGAGTGGACAAGGCTGTGCAGAGTCTACATGTCAGGTGCTTCCCTCAGATCGGTGACCACATGCGAACCCTACCCCCGCCCCCTACAATTTCTGCGGGTGGATGGGGGTTCTTCGCTCGGGAGTTCCCGACCGAACTTCCCACCCCCTTTAGAAATCGTGGAGGGTGGGGGTAGGGTTCCTTTTTCAGGCTCTGGGTTACTCGCCGATGGATTTTTTTGAAGCAGCCGCACGGCAGGTGCAGACGCGGCGGCGGAGTCGACGTGCACCACGAAAATCGAGATCGTCCGAGCTGGCGCGGGTCCGCCCTGGATCCCGCCCAGGACCCCTGCGGGATCCCGTGGGATCCCCCCTGGGGGAGAGATCCAAGGGAAGGGGAATCATTTTTTTCGCATGGCCACGACTTGGCCCCACTTCGGAAGACTTCGGTCGGACCAGCGAAGTCTCCGGCCGGCCGGAAGCGGCCCTCCAAGGCCTCCGAAGTGCAGGGAGGGGCCTCTCGCGTGCATCGACAGGGGTCAGCGCGTTCTCGGTGTCATCCTGGAAGTCCTTGCCGAGGGCTCGAGGTCAGAGGAAACTTGAGCAACCTATAGCCTATAGGTTGCTCAAGTTTCCTCTTCCCTATTAGGACGACTCCTGGTTGCCGTGGGCATGTCTGCTCTCTGGGGAACTCGCTGGCGTTAGGCATTCCGACCTCCCCTTTCCTTCCTCGGAGGCCCCAGGCCGAAACGACGTGGATCATTGCCCCTCGTCCTCCTTTCGCCCGATCCCGACGGCGCTGATGAGACAGACCGTGAGGATAGGGCCGCGGACGATGGCACCGAGAGCTGTACCGTCGGGAGCTCTGAAGCGCAGCGTGTGTCGCGCCGCCGGTTCTGGCCCACCGCGCTTCGGCTCGACGTGCTCGCCACGTCCCAGTCCCCAGTCAACAGCCTCCCGAGCTTTCACACCAGCCTCCCGCCCTGCGCAGCAGAGCGACGCGCTGTCGGCCTGCAGGGCATCCAGGGTGTCGCCGGGGCCGCCGCCGCGACGCGCGCAGCAGAACTTCCCGACGCTGTCGGTGCCAGGAGAGCTGGTGCTGCAGAGCCCACCCCTCCTTCCTCCGCGGCCCCCCCAGCGAGCCCGTGCTGCTGCCGGGCTTGCAGCCTCCCGCGCTCGCGGCCCCTATCTCCCGCTGGCTGGGGGAGGAGGGCCTCGAACAGGATTTGCCTGAGATGCTGGGGTACGGTCGCGCTGAGCAGACCCAGATATCCCATGTCTTGTTTCTCAATGTTGGCCAGGTTGGACCCCAAACAGGGAGTTATTCCCAACTGTCCGTCGGGTTTGCGTCTTGAAGAAGGCATCGTTGTCTGCAGCCTTCCTCATCCCGCCTCATTCCTGCTCCCTCCTTCCTCCGCTCTCCTCCCCTCCTACTACGACTCCCTCGCCACTTTCGAGGGCTGCTGGGAGAGCCAGCGTAGTAGGTACCGAGTGCAGACTCAAAGTAGCCTCTTTTCATCTCTACGTGATGCTCGCCAGGGCCACGAAGGTAGATAACCTTCTGAAGATAACTGACCCCGGGCTCGATTTCCTTGCTCGCGGGCCGCCCGCAGACCTGGCGGCGCGCCAGCGAGTGTTCCCGCGCTGAAGGATGCAGGCAGGAAGCGGGGAGGTTGGCGGGCGAACTGGACCTCGCTCGTTTCTTGTACTGGGTGCGCCAGATTGACATGGCGCCGGCATCGCTGTTCATCAGCGTGCCACTTGAGAACGTTGGCGCCCTCCTTTCTCATCCCTCCCTCGTTGTCGTCCTCGTCCTCCTTTCTCTGTTGCCCTGCTGTTGCGTTCCTCCTGCTTTCGTCCCCCTGCTGCTGCCGCATCTCATTTAGTTCGCACAACCAAGTACATCATGTGCGAGTGCAAATCAGGCCGAGTGCTCGGATCAATTGATGCAGCTGTGTTGGGTACGTCTCACGGTTCTTGCATTGTGGAGGTGGGCGCCATTTGGTGTAAGCTATCTGGTGTGAGCTAGGTGGCGTAAGCTATACGTGCAACCTATGCCGGGGAATCCATATCGTGTGGCCTTTGTTGTGCGAGTTGTGTGGGTGAGCGACGTCGTCTGATCTATGCGGTGTAAGCTATGTGATGTGTTATATTTTGTGTAACCTATGCAGTGTGACCTACGTGTTGAAACTTCTGCGGTGTGTAGGCTACGTGGTGTAAGCCATGTTGCGTAAGCTGTGTGTCGTGAGTTGTGTGGTACGCGATTCGCTTGTATTAGCCTTGTTGTGTGTGTGTGTTGTGTGTGTGTGTGTTGTGTGTGGCGGAAGCTCAGAGGCGGCCTCCCAAGCGGCAACGACGCAGCAACGGGCTGCAACGACGTGGCAGCGAGGCGGTCACGGGCGGCGACGCGGCTAAACCTCGGCGGGCGCCCCAGGTGGGCGGCCATGCGGCGGCCATGCGGCGGCGACGCGGCGAAGCTTCGGCGGGCCCCCCAGGGCTGGTGGCAACGAGGCGGCTGTGAGGCGGCCACGGGCGGCGACGCGGCGAAACCCTGGTGGATGCCCCAAGTGGGTGGCAACAACTCTGCCGCGAAGCGGCCACGGGCGGCGACGCGGCGAGACCTCGGCGGGCCCCCCCCACGTGGGCGGCAACGCCGCGGCAAGGAGGCTGCCGACGTACCGGCGAAACCTGGGCGGACCGCCCAAAGGGCGGCCGCGAGGCGGTCAAGAGGCGGCGACGCGTCGAAATCTCGGCGGCCCCCCCCCTAAGTTCAGGAGGGAAAGAAACACACAGACACAGTTAATCGTCGATTCCCAAGACAAATATGGGAGAATATGGGCATTGGGGGGGAAGGCAAAAACACAGAAAATATGGGAAACGATGGGGATCTTTTTATTTGTATGTATTTATTTGTGCGTCCCAGGGCCCCTTTCATAAGTGAGCGACAAAGGGGCGGCCCCGAGGCGGTCGCGGGCTGCGACGCGGCCGAGCCTTGGGCAGCGGGGCGGCAACGAGGCTGCCACTGGCGGCAGCGCGGCGAAACCTCGGCGGACTCCCCACGGGCGGTGCCGCGGCCACGGGCGGCGCCGCGGCGAAACCTCGGCGGAACCCAGAAGTGGGCGGCATCGCGGCGGCAACGAGGCGGCCACTGGCGGCGACGCGGCAAGGTTTTGGCGGAGCCACACATGTCCTTGGTGACCCGGAGTCGTGATTGTTGGCAATGAATGTGGTGCGACCCAGGTGGTGCAATCAGCGTTCAATGTAGGTGGTGCAGTCCATGTGGTGCAATCTATCTGGCACATGCATGCGAAGTAATGTGACGCAGTGCAAGTCAATCCAATACACTGCGCAGCACTGCAAGTCAATTCAACGCAATGCAAAGCAATGCAACACAATGCGCCGCAAATGAGAACAATGTAACAGAATGCAGAGCAATGCGAAGCAATGCAAATCAATACAAAGCAATGCAAAGCAATGCAAAGCAATGCAAAGCAATGCAAAGCAACACAATGCGATGCAGTGCGATGCGAAACGATGCCAAGCAGTGCCAGCCAATGCAAAGCACTGCACAGCAATGCCACACAGTGCAGCGCAATGCGAAGCAGTGCGAAGCAGTGCGAAGCCATACCGTGCAATTCATTGCGATGCAGAGCACTGCAACCCAATGCAAAACACTGCACAGCAGTGCGATCCAGTGCGAAACTTGTCATGCGAATGGGAGGTGGGGGGGGGTGCAACGGGGGGGGGGGGTGCAGCGGGGCGGCGGCGCCGGACGGGAACGAGGCCGCCGGGCCAACAAGCGGGCCCAGTTCAGTACCTGTGGGTGCAGGCGCGGATTGGGGAACAAGTGCGACCCCCTGAGTGCAAGTACTGCTTTGGGATCAGGTGCGTAGATCGAATATTGGTCGGACTGGCGTGAGATGCAGCAGCGTGGCGCTTTCAGTCGGTGCTGCTCGCATTCAGTACAACATACATCTGCACGACATTGCGATGCCTCTGACTCGCGGAGCCAAAGCAACGAACGCTCCCCGAGCCTAAGCCAACCTGCTCCAACTGCTCATCCCTCCTGTTCCTCGCGGCGGCGAGGCCACGGGCGGCCACGTGGCGAAGCCTCGCCTGGTCCACCCAGCGCACGGGGTGGCCTGCAGGCGGCCACGGGCGGCGACGGGGTGAGCCCTCGCCTGGCCCGCCCAGCGCACGAGGCGGCCACGAGGCGGCCACGGGCGGTCGCCGGGCCCGTCCAATTTCCCCGGCGACCGAGTGCAGAAGCTCTTGATGCAAAGCACTGCTTGGGGAACACGGCTCCTCCGTAAAGTTCCGACTCCTCCCCTCGAGGCCTCCCAGACGGGGTCGGAGTAGACAGAGTCGGAGGATCGCGCCGCATCGCCGATGCATCGCCGATGCATCGCCGATGCATCGCCGATGCGGCTCGGTGCGGAGCCCGATTGCCTTCACGCGGACGTCGCCGGTGCATCGCCGACGTCGCTGATGCATCGGGGGTCGATCGCCGATGCATCGCCAATGCATCGCCGATGCATCGCCGATGTGTCGCCGATCCTCCGATCTCAGCTAATCCGACCCCATATAGGAGGCCTCTGTTCCCCCAGGGTTGGTTTTTTCCATCCGGGGTCGTGGAGCTGACGCCTCCCGTGGGCCCTGCGAGGGCACCCCGGAAGCCGAAAACACGGCCAGGGACTCGTTGCCGCGTTTGTGTCGTCTTCCACGCGAGGAGGCCTCGGGGGAGAAGCCCCCGCTCCTCGCAACCCCGGGCTTCCTGCGCTCCTCCTCGCCCGCGGCTGCTTCCCGCCCTTCCAGGGCGCGCTCTCGGGGCAGTGCCGCAAGAGGCCAGCTCAGAGCTCCTGTCCAGAGAGTGGGCTCTCTTACGTTGCATCTTTGGGGGGCCTCGCCTGTCCAGCAAATTGGCGTCGCTTCTCGTGCCCGATGCGGGCTCGATGCGGACTCGACGCGGATTTGGCGTGGATTCGACGCGGTTTCGGCACGGATTCGACACGGGATCCGTCGAGTCCGACATGGATTCGACATGGACTCGACGCGGAGAGGGCCGCGACGGGACAGGCAAGGTCCCTCGAGGAGGCAACATAAGACAGAGTGGGGGGTGGGGGGGGGAGGAGAGGCTCGTGCGCAGCGCTCAAGGCAGCTCCCAGCCAGCGCTTCCTGGGGTCGTGGGCGCCTCCTGGGCAGCGCCCGGGCGGCTCTTGCTAGGAAGAGCGGGGATCAGTTCGGACGGAAAGGGGTGGGGGGTGGGAAAAGGTTGGGGTACGGAATCTGCCGCAGGCCGCTGGCCTCGGGTCGGGAGGCGCCGAGAGCTGATTCGCGAACCCCCTCTGCTACCCTCCGTGCCCTCCCGACCCGATGGAAGAGGAGGGAGAGCGGCGGTGGCAACAGCAGAAAGAAGCTGGCAGTTGGGGGAGGAGGAACAGGGATGGAGCTGGAGAGGCAGACGCAATGATGATGATTCGGATGATGCGTATGAGGATGAGAATGATGATGATGACACTGCTGATGACGATGATGAGGATGATGGCGATGCTGATGACGATGATGATGACGATGATGGTGGTGCTGCTGGTGATGATGGTGCGGCTGCTGCTTATGATGGTGATGCTGCTGCTGCTGATGCTGCTGCTGATGATGATGATGATGATGATGATGATGGTGGTGGTGGTGGTGGTGGTGGTGGCGATGGTGATGATGTTAATGAGGAGGAGGAGGAGGAGGAGGAGGAGGAGGAGGAGGAGGAGGAGGAGGAAAGGTCGACGGCGACGATGACGACAGCTTCCAGCATGTATAAAGATAGCACCAATGGAGTCCAGGGCACTAGGAGGGCAATGAAAGGGCAGTGGGACGCGCGAAGACCCTCCTGTGGTAAGTAGTAGCTGCAGTGTAGTGGCTCCTGGTAGAACCCTTTCAGCCATCATATGGCTCATCCTGTCACTGGTTGGTTCGCAGGGAAGTTGTTCACGATGCTGATCGAAGCATCCAGCACGCTTCGAGACCACTACCCGCCCTTTTAGTTCTTAAACCCGCAGGGTGTTAACCATGATACCGAAGCAACCCTAGGCGGACCCAGGATAACCACCGAAAGTTTCAACGTGGGACATGGCGGTGCAAGTCTGCCCCGACCGCCCCAAGACGCACGAATAGTCCAGGACGGCCACAGAAGAGGCCCACCGTGGCTGAGTCTCTGACGTCTCCTTCTCCTCCTCATCATCATCATCAGCACAATCATCACAATCATCATCAACATCATCATCATCATCACCATCATCATCATTATCATCATCATCACCATCATCATCATCACCATCATCATCATCATCACCATCATCATCATCACCATCATCATCATCACCATCATCATCATCATCATCCTCATCATCATCATCATCATCAGCAGCATCATCATCATCATCATCATCATCATCATCATCATCCTCTTGCGCCTCTTCTCTCTCGTTCTCCTGCTACTCCCTCTCCTCCCCCGCTCCCTCCTCGCCCTCTCTTCTCTCCTCCTCTCCCTGCTAGCTCACGAGCACCACCCACTCTCTCGCATTTCCTTTCGTGCTTCCTCTGCCGGCTGCTCCCAGGCGGTGCGCCGCTCCTCCCACCAGCACGCCCCTCATGGCCCCGCCGTCGGACGACTCCTCGTTCCGTGCTGTGTCCTGCGTCCCCCCCCCATCCGCGGCCCCACC